TGGCTGACTTTATTTTTGGGGGCTCCAAAATCACTGCAGATGGTGACTGCAGCCATGAAATAAAGATGCTTGCTCCTTGGAAGAAAACTATGACCAACCTAGACAGCATATTAAAAAGCAGAGACATCACTTTGGCAACAAAGGTCTATCTCATCAAAGCTATGGTTTTTCCAATAGTCATGTATGGATGTGAGTTGGACTATAAAGAAATCTGAGTACTGAAGAATTGATGCTTTTGAACTGTGATGTTGGAGAAGACCCTTGAGAGTATCTTAGACAGCAAGGAGATCCAACCAGTTCACCCTAAAGGAAATCAGTCCTGAATATTCATTGGAAGGACTAATGCTGAAGCTGAAACTCCAATACTTTGGCCACCAGATGCGAAGAACTGACTCATTTGAAAAGACCCTGATCCTGGGAAACATTGAAGGTGAAGAGGATAAGGGGACTACAGAGGATGAGATGGTTGGATGGCATCATTGACTCAGTGGACATGAGTTTGAGTAAACTCTGGGAGTTGGTGATGGACAGGGAGGCCTGGCATGCTGCAGTCCATGGGGTCACAAAGAGTTGGACATGACTGAGCGACTGAACTGATCTCCCGTAGCATATTGGGCACCTACCGACCTGGGGAGTTCTTCTTTCAGTGACCTATCCTTTTGCCTTTTCATGCTGTTCATGGGGTTCTCAAGGCAAGAATGCTGAAGTGGTTTGCCATTCATTTTCCAGTGGACCTCGTTTTGTTGGAACTCTCCACCATGACCCACCCACCTTGGGTGGCCCTACATGGCATGGCTCATAGTTTCATTAAGTTAGACAAGGCTGGGGTCCATGTGATCAGTTTGGTTAGTTTTCTGTGATTGTGGTTTTCATTCTATCTATCCTCTGATGGATAAGGATAAGAGGTTATGGAAGCTTCCTGATGGGAGAGACTGACTGAGGGGGAATCTGGGTCTTATTTTGATGGGCAGGGCCATGCTCAGTAAATCTTTAATCCAATTTTCTGTTGATGGGCGGAGCTGTGTTCCCTCCCTGTTGTTTGACCTGAGGTCAAACTATAATGGAGGTAATGAAGATAGTGGCAACCTCCTTCAAAAGGTCCCATGCAGGCACTGCCGCATTCAGTGCCCCTGACCCTGAAGCAGGCCACGGTTGACCCACGCTTCCCCTAGAGACTCCTGGACACTCCCAGGCAAGTCTGGGTCAGTCTCTTGTGGGGTCACTGCTCCTTTCTCCTGGGTTCTGGTGCACACAAGGTTCTGTTTGTGCCCTCCAAGAGTCTGTTTCCCCAGTCCCGTGTAAGTTCTGGCGGCTCTATGGTGGGATTGATGGTGACCTCCTCCAAAAGGGCTTATGCCGTCCATACCCAGGTCTACTGCACCCAGAGCTCCTGCCCCTGCGGCAGGCCACTGCTGGCCCATACCTTCGCAGGAGACACTCATACACAGCTCTGGCTCAGTCTCTGTGGGATCTCTGGGTCCTGGTGTACACAAGGTGTGTTTGAGCCCTCTGAGTGTCTCTGGTGGGTAAGGGGTTTGATTCTAAACATGATTTCACCCCTCCTACCCTCTTGCTGGGGCTTCTCCTTTGCCCTTGGACGTGGGGTATCTTTTTTTGTTGGGATCCAACATTCTCCAGTCGACGGTTGTTCAGCAGTGAGTTGTAGTTTCGGAGTTCTCACAGGAGACGATGAGCACATGTCCTTCTACTCTGCTATCTTACGCCACTGGAAAGGGTGTAATCCCAAAGAATTTCCAATCCCAAAGAATTTCCAGTCCCAAAGAATTTCCAGTCCCAAAGAAAGGAAATGCCAAAGAATGTTCAAACTACCACACAATTACAGTCATCTCACATACTAGCAAAGTAATGCTCAAAATTCTCCAAGCCAGGCTTCAGCAGTATGTGAACCATGAACTTCCAGATGTTCAAGCTGGATTTAGAAAAGGCAGAGGAACCAGAGATCAAATTGCCAACATCCATTGGATCATCAAAAAAGCAAGAGAGTTCCAGAAAAACATCTATTTCTGCTTTATTGACTATACCAAAGCCTTTGACTGTGTAGATCACAACAAACTGTGGAAAATTCTTCAAGAGATGGGAATACCAGACCACCTTACCTGCCTCCTGAGCAATCTGTATGCAGATCAAGAAGCAGCAGTTAGAACTGGACATGGAACAACAGACTGTATATTTTCACCCTGCTTATTTAACTTATATGCAGAGTATATCATGCATAATGCTGAGCTGGATGAAGCACAGGCTGTAATCAAGATTGCCGGCAGAAATATCAGTAACCTTAGATGTGCAGAAGACACACCATCCTTATGGCTGAAAGCGAAGAAGAACTAAAGAGACTGTTAATGAAAATGAAAGAGGAGAGTGAACTCAACATTCAGAAAACTAAGATCATGGCATCCAGTCCCATGATTTCATGGCAAATAGGTGGGGAAATAGTGGAAACAGTGAGAGACTTTATACTTTTGGGTTCCAAAATCACTGCCGATGGTGACTGTAGCCATGAAATTAAAAGACACTTGCTCCTTGGAAGAAAAACTATGACCAACCTAGACAGCATATTAAAAAGCAGAGACATTACTTTGCCAACAAAGGTCCGTTTTGTCAAAGCTATGGTTTTTCCAACAGTCATGTATTGAGATGTGAGAGTTGGACTGTAAACAAAGCTGAGCACTGAAGAATTGATACTTTTGAACTGTGATGTTAGAGAAGACTCTTGAGAGTCCCTTGAACTGCAAGGAAGTCTAACCAGTCCATCCTAAAAGAAATCAGCCCAGATTCTTTATTGGAAGGACTGATGCTGAAGGTGAAGAAAGTTCGATACTTTGGCCACCTGATGGAAAGAACTGACTCATTTGAAAAGACCCTGAACCTGGGAAAGACTGAAGGCAGGAGGAGAAGGGGACGACAGAGGATGAGATAGTTGGGTGGCGTCACTGATTTGATTGACACGAGTTTGAGTAAGCTCAGGGAGTTGGTGATGGACAGGGAGGCCTGGTGTGCAGCAGTCCATAGAGTCTCAAAGAGTCAGACATGACTGAGCGACTGAACTGAACTGAACGGAAGTGTTTTTTGAAACTATAAATTTATAGTTTAGAGTATTTTTATCATGAAGAATTAGTAAGTATTCAGCTTAAGATTTTCAAAGAAATAATAAGAGAAGAAACAGAAAATTAGATGCGGGGTTTTTTTTGTTTTTTGGCCACAGTGTGCAGCTTATGGGATCTTAGTTCCTAACAAGGGATTGAACCCAGGCAAATGACAGTGAAAGTGTGGAGTCCTAACCACTGAACCACCAGGGAATTCCCAAGATGTGTGATTTTAAGATACATGTACACTGAACTGTATACACTTGGAACTGGGAAATCAGAGCCACCATAAACTCACTGTTTGAATAGGAAAAAGTGGCCCCTTTTTGGTGGGTTTGGCCCATGCCTAGGCATACAGATTGGTCAGTGTAGGCTTATAGTCAGGTTCCTGTGTACCGTCTTATATGTAACCATATGCATTTGTTTCAGACACGTATCCTATATGCGTACATTTCCCTTGGGCTTGCTGTCATCTCAGTGCCTGTGCACTAGTTCTGTACCTGCAGTGATCTTTCCTTGGATATCTGCTTGACTCACTTCATGCCTTTACTTATGTCACCTTCTCACTGAGTGTTTCCCTGACCACTCTTATGTCTCTCACCTTGCTAAAGAATTTGTTTTACTCTCCTCACTAGTATGTAAGGTCCATGAGAAAGAGACATCTTTGCCTCTTTTGTTTACTGATATATCCCTGGCACTTTAGCTCCAGAAATACATTCATGTTGAGTGAATAGTCATCTGGGAGTATGGAGAAGAAAAGAGAGTATGGAATATGATTGTTGCATGGCCTTAAAGACCCTCTTATGTATGGTTAACTTTATCATAAGTTCCAAATTTTGTGCAACAGCTGTTGCACAAAAGTTGTTGAAATGTGAATTACATAGGCACCTCAGGTAGACTAGAGAACATGACATTTTTCATGATAGGTAGACCTATGTACCAATTATAAATGAAATTCCAAGTGAACTACATGTTACATAAATATTTGTGCTGAAGATATTTTTTTCTTGATAGTTGATTTAAAGAGAAAATATTCGATAGTAGACGTATCAGAAGAGCAGAGTGTTCTGTGGAGACTCTGAAATTTTAAGGCAAGTAATATCAACATTAGAAGTTTGAGTTTCATGTTTGTCTTCTTAGTTTGGGCTGCTATAACAAAAATACAGAGAATGAGTGGCTTAAACAATAAACATTTATTGTCACAGACCTGGAGGCTATGGAGTTCAAGATCAAGGTGCTAGCAGAACAGTGTCTAGAAAGAGCCTGCTTCCATGGACTGTAGACTGCTGTCTTCTCTCTGTAGCCTCAAAAAACCAAGGGCAATCATCTCTACCTACATCCCTTCTTATAAGGGCACTGAGCTCATTCATGAGAGCTCATGACCTAATTGGGCTTCCCTGGTGGCATAGTGGTAAAGAATCTGCCTGCCAATACAGAAGACAGCAGTTCGATCCCTCAGTCAGGAAGATCCCCTGGAGAAGGAAATTACCCACTCCCATATTCTTGCTGGGAAAATCCCATGGGCCGTGAAGCCTGGCAGGCTACAGTCCATGGAGTCAAAAAGAGTCTGATATGACTTGGCGAACAAAAAACAACAACAAACTCATTCATGAGGGCTCATGACCTAATTACTTACCAAAGGCCCCACCGCCTGATACCATCACACTGGGAATTGGCAGCACATTTAGTCCTTTAGCATCTCCTTTTGGGTTGAGTCTTTTCACTACCTCATTCAGGCCATCCTTGCTTCTGCCAGTTATATTATCAGGTTTCATATGCCTTTAATGGGAGTAATTTGTATTCTAAAATCTAGTCTCTTAAAACAGAAAATTTCTAATTCTATAAGGATGATTTTTCAAGTATGTGCTTAGTCTAGAATAAAAAGTTGCCAATAGCACACACAGTCATTTGTCTGTTGTAAAATAGGCTTGTGGTAGAAGCTGAATAATAAAGTCATCCGTGCCTACTTCACCCAGGTTGAATTACACAACATAGTTCAATTTCTGGTGATGGAGATTATAGGTCTTTTTCTGCCTGTCCCTAGGGAAGTATAGATAAGTTTATCTGTTTATAGTATTCCATGACTACTTAGGAGTAAAGAATAGGGCTTGACTGCTGGGTCTAGTTTTAGTTTTATAGAAAATTTGAAGAAGAATGAATAACCATCTCCTCCCCAACGCCACTCTGCCACCATAGCATTTTTAACTGTTAGATACAGTGTTGTAGGACTAATAAAAATTTTTAATAGTTTTGTAAAAAGATAATTGGGAGAAAAATTACTAACCATCCCTTTTCTTTTTCTTTTTTTTAGGCTTACTCAATTCCAGATATGGCCGAGGATGGATTGATCACAGAAAATTAGCTGTAAATAGCTTTCGCTGTTTTGGATATGGCCAGAAATCTTTTGAATCTAAAATCTTAGAAGAAACCAAATTTTTCATTGATGCTGTTGAAACATACAATGGTAGCCCTTTTGACTTAAAACAATTAGTAACAAATGCTGTTTCAAATATAACCAATCTGGTCATTTTTGGAGAACGATTCACTTATGAAGACACTGATTTTCAGCACATGATTGAGTTATTTAGTGAAAATGTGGAACTAGCTGCCAGTGCCTCAGTCTTCCTCTATAATGCCTTTCCATGGATTGGCATCTTACCTTTTGGAAAACATCAACAGCTGTTTAGAAATGCAGCTGTGGTCTATGACTTTCTCTCTAGGCTTATTGAAAAAACTTCCATCAACAGAAAACCGCAGTTACCTCAGCATTTTGTTGATGCTTATTTAGATGAGATGGAAAGAAGTAAAAATGACCCATCATCTACTTTCTCCAAAGAAAACCTAATTTTTTCTGTGGGTGAACTCATCATTGCTGGAACTGAAACTACAACTAATGTGCTACGGTGGGCAGTTCTTTTCATGGCCCTTTATCCTAACATTCAAGGTGAGGATTTGCATGATCTTAACATCTGTGCTTATGTTTAGGGCCCACACATGTTTTACAGTCTTTGGCTGTGTACAAAGCATTTTAGTTAGGAACTCCTGCTATGCTATCCAAAAAGAGAAGTACTGAATAGCTATAAGGTTTTTAAAACTATTAATTCATGTAGAAACCTCAGATATAAATCTTACAATACCTGTATTATAAATGAGGGAAAAGGCTAAGTGACTGATTTGCCCCCATCCTTATAGTTCTAAGCCAGAACCTGAACCCTAGTTTTGGGGGATTTTTTGTTTGTTTGTTTTGATTTGGTTTTGGTTATACCACGCAGCATGCAGAATCTTAGTTTCCCAACCAAGGATTGAAGCCACACCCTCTGCAGTAGAAGCATGTAGTCTTTATAGCTGAACTGCCAGGAAAGTCCCAACCCTGGCTTTTTAAAAATTATTATTTATTTTTATTGAAAGATGATTGTTTTACAATATTGTGTTGGTTTCTGCCACACATCAGCGTGAATCAACCATAGGTATACATATGTCCCCTCCCTCCTGAACCTCCCTCCTACGTCCCCCCAACCCACCTCTCTAGGTTGTTACAGAGCCCAGATTTGAATTCCCACTGACTATTTACATGTGTAGTCTATATGTTTCCATACTACTCTCCATTTGTCCCACCCTCTCCTTACCCCCAACCCATGCCCACAAATCTGTTCTCCATGTCTGTGTCTCCATTGAAAGTGAAAGTCACTCAGTTGTGCCCCACTCTTTGTGACCCCACGGACTGTGTGTAGCCTGTTAGGCTCCTCTGTTCATGGAATTGACCAGGCCAGAATCCTGGAGTGGGTAGCCATTCCCTTCTCCAGGAGATTTTCCCAACCCAGGGATCAAACCCAGGTCTCCTGCCTTGCAGGCAGATTCTTTACTGTCTGAGCCCCAGGGAAGCCCCTGAGTCCCCATTGCTGCCCTGCACATAGGTTCATCAGTCTCATCTTTCTAGATTCCAAATATTTGCATTAATATACAATATTTGTTTTTCTCTTTCAGACTTACCTCACTCTGTATAATAGTTTCTAGGTTCATCCACCTCATTAGAACAGACTCAAATATGTCCCTTTAAATCACTGAGTAATATTCCATTGTGTGTGTATATATATATGTGTGTGTGTGTGTGTATCACAACTTTATCCATTTATCTGTTGGTGGATTTTTGGATTGTTTCCATGTCTTTGCTGTTGTAAATAGTGCTGCAATGAACATTACCAACCCTGGTCTTTTTTATTTGAAGTTTCTAATGCTTCGTTCTTTTCCTTGATCAGAGTAATGTTATTCTAATTCTAGATTTAATTTTTATTTTTATTACCTATAATATGTGTTTCACAATTAGGTACTGGTTGTGTAGGATATGTGGCATGTGTTTAAATAGAACTCCCAGATAATGAAAACTCTGAATCTGAATGTACCCATACCATGTTGGCTGGTTATCGTTTGTTTTATCCTAAAGAGAGGTTACTTTAGATATAATTCTAAGAATTGCATAATAATGGGAACACTTTTTCTCTTACAGGACAAGTTCAGAAAGAGATTGACTTAATTATAGGACCCAGTGGGAAGCTTTCTTGGGATGACAAGTGCAAAATGCCTTATACCGAGGCAGTTTTGCATGAAGTTTTAAGATTCTGTAACATAGTGCCATTAGGGATTTTCCATGCAACCTCTGAGGATGCAGTTGTACGTGGTTATTCCATTCCCAAAGGCACAACAGTAATCACAAATCTTTATTCTGTACACTTTGACGAAAAGTATTGGAGAGACCCAGAAATATTCTATCCAGAGCGATTTCTGGACAGCAGTGGATATTTTTCCAAGAAGGAAGCTTTGGTTCCCTTTTCCCTAGGTAAGAGAGCTTTTTCACAGGGGCTTAACTTGAGAACAAAGTATAGTGATGATTCATTATGTATAACATCTTAATCTGAAGCATTCTGTTGTAGAATTAATATCCCAACTTTGAAAACAGCATTGACTCTTAAGGAGAGAACGGTTTAATTAGATGTCATTAACACCTGTTTCTACTCAAAATAAACAAGGCATAATTTAGCAGCTAGAAAGTAACTGATGAAAAGCTCTGGCTTTTTTTTGAAACTCTCTTGCTTGTGAAATTTGTAGAGCTGGAAGTCAGTAACAGGCACTTTGAGAAACTGAGACCCAGGGACAGGAATGGCATCATAATTTGAAGTGAAACTGGAATCAAGCTCTCGTGACTTTTAAATATTATACCTCATCTCCAAAAATATTGTGTCTCCTGTGACAAAGTACACAGATCACAAGACCCATGGAAGATGGCTTGGAGAAATCTTTTCATTGGGGAAGGGTACACATACAGTCATTTTAAATGAAATGAACTTCTTCTTCTGGGTCAGTAGAACTAAGTGTCACACCTTAGATCTTTCGTGGCATATCCCAGGCTCTGTTGCAAAGGAAGCAGAGAATGGAAATAATGAGCTTACAAAAGTACGTGACCTGACAAAAGAAGGTAAAAAATGGGCCCTGGGAACTGAAATGCTGGGGCCTATTTCTATTCTTTGGGGCTTAAGAAAATCCTTTAATGAACATAACTTCCTCTCAGTTCAGTTCAGTCACTCAGTCATGTCCGACTCTTTGCGACCCCATGGACCACAGCACACCAGGCCTCTCTGTCCATCACCAGCTCCCAGAGTTTACCCAGACTCATGTCCATTGAATAGGTGATGCCATCCAATCATCTCATCCCCTGTCATCCTCTTTTCCTCCTGCCTTCAATCTTTCCCAGCATCAGAGTCTTTTTCAGTGAGTCAGCTCTTTGCATCAGGTGGCCAAAGTATTGGAGTTTCAGCTTCAGCATCAGTCCTTCCAATGAATATTCAGGACTGATTTCCTTTAGGATGGACTGGTTGGATCTCCNCTCTTTCAGAATTTTCCACAGTTTATTGTGATCCACACAGTCGAAGGCTTTGGCATAGTCAATAAAGCAGAAATAGATGTTTTTCTGGAACTCTCTTGCTTTTTTGATGATCCAATGGATGTTGGCAATTTGATCTCTGGTTCCTCTGCCTTTTCTAAAACCAGCTTGAACATCTGGAAGTTCATGGTTCACGTATTGCTGAAGCCTGGCTTGAAGAATTTTGAGCATTACTTTACTAGTGTGTGAGATGAGTGCAATTGTGTGGTAGTTTGAGCATTCTTTGGGATTGCCTTTCTTTGGGATTGGAATGAAAACTGGCCTTTTCCAGTCCTGTGGCCACTGCTGAGTTTTCCAGATTTGCTGGCATATTGAGTGCAGCACTTTCACAGCATCATCTTTTAGGATTTGAAATAGTTCAACTGGGATTCCATCACCTCCACTAGCTTTGTTCGTAGTGATGCTTCCTAAGGCCCACTTAACTTTCTCTAACATTCTTTAAATACCAGAGTTCCTGAAAGATATATATTAAACATAAGTTTTGGTAAATAATTTAAAAACTATTATGCCTGCTTTCTGTTTAGGGAGAAGACATTGTCTTGGAGAACAGCTGGCTCGGATGGAAATGTTCCTGTTTTTCACAACATTGCTTCAGAGGTTTCATTTGCATTTTCCACATGAACTGGTTCCAAACCTGAAGCCCAGGTTAGGCATGACATTGCAACCCCAGCCCTACCTCATCTGTGCAGAAAGACGCTGAAAGTACACAGATGTTTTGTGGAACAAGCTGTTCGCCTCACCCCCAAACCTTGTTTAATTCTGTGTTTGGACAGGAATCACAGCATCATAAAGCCAAATGAACAGAGATGTATCTTTAAAAGCAGAACTACTATAATAATATGCATTAGCTATTGTTTTTTCCTTATAAGTCTTATGACTTATAAAGTGGAATTATCTGAGGAAAACAGAGGTGCAAATGGTAGCTCTTGCATCAGTGTCCTGACTTTTTAACCTCTTATTGAGCACCAGGTACCTGCCATCCATTCTTGACTCCAGCTTGCTCCTTCTATCTGCCTGCAATGCCAGTGCCAGCTCCTTTCTAATCAGGTATTGTCTGTGTTACCACACAATCCAGTCCAATTTCATAGTGGACCAAAGAAATTAGAACCCAAATAAGTGAGTTTGGACTACATAGGTATTTTATTAGATGCAGTGGTAGATGACAGAATATATATTTATATAGTATATTTAATATAAAACCTGCTAATACTTTCAAGTCTTACTTCCTACTATAGTTTCATAAGAGTTGTATCATTCTTCCTACATATGAGGGTCCTATGATATATAATAATGATAATGATATTGATAATGATATATGATAATGTATTTAAAAATGACAGGTAGCATGACCTAGATGCTTAATGATGTAATAAAAATCCTGTTTCTTCACATCCCTCAAGTTTGCTTTCCAGATGATACTAGCTTTATCTTAAGGGTGGCTTATGGAAGTACATGTTCTTTGCCCATGTCCTTTCAAGATACTGAGCTTGGATTGTTTTTGGGAGAGCAAGGGAGCTTTTCAGATGTTCCCTTAAAACTGTTCTTTGTGTCCCATAGGTCCTAACTAACCTATGTGTCCACCCATTAAAACTATGTCTTGGGACTTCCCTGTCGGTCCAGTGGTTAAGACTCTCTGGTTCCAATGCAAGGGACACAGGTTCGATCCCTGGTCAGGGAGCCAAGATCCCACGTGATATATGGCCAAAAAAACAAAAACAAAAAAACCTGTCTTGTGAACATGAAAGCAACCCAAGTGCCCAGTAACAGATGACTGGATTAATAAAATGTGAGATATATATATATATATATATATGCTATTTATTTTCTTCACCTTGCATCTAAGGAAATGTATTTTTCCCTAATCAAGTTAATGCAAACCTGATGAAAATCATTTAAATATGTAGATTCACAACTTGTTAATGTTAGAAGAGGTCTAATCTCACTTGATGTGCTTATTTTATGGCCAAGGAAGTAGGCGTTCAGACAGGGAAATGAAGAGCATGGCCCTCTTTTACCTCATCCATGTATTTTTTTTAATCCAAACTGTTTATTGGGATGGTTCCTCATTTATCCTGATTCAGAGTGCTTTTAGTGATTCCATCTGAAGAAGCATCCTTCTATAAGCCTTGTTTTTCCTGCTGTGGGCTGGCTGAGTCCTGCTGACTGTGCCAGAGTCCTAGTTAGCACGTGGCTAACAATGGTGGTGATCTTAACAGCCTTCTGGGCATTTCACATCCATGAGGTAAGAACTGCGCCTCTGTACCAGGTACTTCTTTTTGTGTATTCTCTTCTCTTCTGAAGAGGGATGAAGGAGCTTCTTTGTAAGATGCACATTCTCATCAGGAGGTCATCAGACCATCTCTTATTCTTCTTACTCACACCCAATAATTTATACTATGCTTTATAGTTCATATGAGCGACTGAACTGAACTTACAGTTCATAAAGTTGTTTTCATACTGTCAACTCTTGACTATTTTCAGCCAATTTTAACTGGTAAAAATAAAATACTTCAATTTTATAAAAATATAAATTAACATGAATTTAATAAGTAATCCATAATGGACAGTATTTCTTTTTTGGAACTATATAGTTCCTATATAGTAACTATATAGGAACTATATAGTAGAACTATCGATCTACTATAGTGAGAATGCCTTCTCTCTGATCAGTCAGTGGTGAGCTACTAACTTAAAATGTTAGAATTCACTTATGGTTCAAGATGGCAACTGAGCATACTTATTTCTTCTCTACAAATGCCACTGAAATAACCAAAAGGATAGAAAAAGGGATAAAGACATTGATGATGGGGTTGGAGGGATATATTAGTGAATCAGCTACTTCCAGGTTCTAAAAGATGGAATGTAAATGGGATAATATTGAAAGAACCACAGATAGGACCATGCATAGACAAAGCCTGAGGTAGAGATAGGAGCTCATTCTTCACAGCTGATTATGGAAAAAGCAAGTAGCCAAGGAGAGTAGTACATAAGGACAACGAGAGTGGAAGGAAATCATGTTGATGCTCCTGTCCCCACACTGCTTTCTCTTCTTGTTTGTGCAGCTATAGAATGTGCTCCCAAGTAAATGTCTAAATAAATTGAGTGCTATGTCTGGGAGGTAGTGGTGCTCCTACATAGGGATTGGAGTCGTCAATTGGCAGCCCCTTAATTTGGTCTGATTTTGGACCTAAGTTCTACATAACCAAAATGATTAATCAGGTGGAAGGGCAAATTTCAGTCAACCAAGTGATGACTGGGGAAACATCAGCAAAAGGGCTAGTGTTAAGAATTGAATATATTTAACTATAGTACTAACACTAAAACAAAGGTTGGAATAAGTGCAACAAAATAATGTGTAAAAGTTTATACTCCGACAGTGTGGAAATAATGTATCTAACAAAAATAAATGAGAGGAAAAAAAGGTGTAAAGTAGAATAAATCTCATTGCTTCATGTATAATAGTTAGAAGTCAAAGGATATAATTTGACAAATCAAGTAGTAAATGTTTGAGTAAATTTAAGAGTACAAAAGTAAATGGTAGTAATACTGCTTAAAATTGGGTACTGGAAGACATGGAAGAAGAAAACGTCCATGCTAATTTATTATTCTTAGAAGAGAAGCAGATATTATCCAAACATATAAAGGTATAAGCATAAAGATGACCACTAAATCAAAACTACAAGCCCACAAAAAAAAAAAAAAAAATACAAGCCTTCTTAAATGTCAGGAGAACTAAAATTAATATTTTAATAAAGAACAGATTATATGAGAGAACTAAAAAGGCTTATTTTACCTATTAAAACCGTATTCAAATTGGATCACAGAGATAACTTGATGATATAGTTATGTTGTATATGAGAAACATCTGAAAAAAAGAAGTTAAGAATATAAGGATGAGTAAGGTCATACCAGGCAAATGCAAATAGAAAGCATGACTCATGATCTTAATAAAACAAAGTAGAATTCAAGGCAGAAAGCATAAGCAAGACAGAAATTCACTCTTTAATCCTAAAGACTCTGATTCTAGAAGAAGTTACAATAATTATGAATAACTGTTGCACCAAAAAGCAGCATCTTTCATGAAGCAAAAATGGCAAGAGGTACAAAGAAAAATGTATGGATGTATGTTAATACTAAGAGGCTAATTCACTTCTCTCAACCTAAGACAAATCAAGTGGATCTCAAAAAATAAAGATAAAGAAGACCTATACTAAGAATTTGCTGGTTGTTCAGTGGTTAGAACTCCACTCTTCCACTGCAGGGAGCACAGGCTCAATCCTTGGTTGGGGAACTAAGATCCTGTGTGCCCTAGAGTGAGGCCAAAAAAAAAGTCTTCTGTACTGCATAATCAGTAAGGTAGAACTGAGGAATACACATCAAATTTTATATCTGATAATAGAGTATGCCATTTTTATACATGTTGATGAAAATTGACCACGCAAAATGGATCAAAAGTTGAACTTTGAAAAATTTTGGAAGTATAAATATTACAGATTTCATTATCTGAGCATAACATAATAAGAATGGGTATTAATAACAGAATAATAAAACCAAAATTGCCTTCGTATCTTGAAATTAAAATTGTAAAATAATCATTGGACAAGGGGAAAACACAAACAATAATTGGAGAATTTCTAGAAAACATGATAAAAACATCAGAATCTATGGAATACAGCTGCAGTTGTCTTCAGAAGAAAATTCATAGCTCTATGTACTTGTTTAGATGAAAAAATAAATCTTGAGGATGAGCTAGGCATGCTTTTTGTAAATTAGAATAACAGCAAACCAAAGGAAAGTAGAAGGAAAAATTACGAATTCTGGATAAGCAGGAATTAATGAGTTAGACAATAGAAAATAAGACCAATAGGTTGTATCCTTTTTTTAAAAATCCATATGCTAAATCAAGGGTCAACAATTTTATACTTCACAGGTGAAATTTGGCCCACCATCTGTTTTGTATGACCCCAAGTTAATGGTTTTTACATTTTTACATGCATGGTTAAAAAAAAGAACGGCTGAATGAGGGGAATTAGGGTAAATGGGTCAATATGTGATAAAGCAATATAGGAAAATGTAAATTCTAGCATCTAGACTGTTTAAGGGTGTTTCTTCTATAATTCTTTCAACTTTTCTGTTTGAAATTTTTGATAATAAAATATTGGGAGGAACACTAAAAACAAACAAAATAATATTTTGTGATAAATGAAAATTTTCTGCATTTCAAATTTAATGTTCATAAAGTTACATCTCTTCCCTGAAAGAGAAGTTTAATAATTGTAAGAAATTGATTTGTAAAACTCAGTGCAAAGAAGTTTGAAGACCTGAATGAAATGGATAATCTCCATGAAACATGATTTACCAGAGTCTAGTTTTCATAAAAGAAAAGTTGCCAAAGATGACCTTCAGAAAACTATTTGAGCTCTTCTAGAGCATAGAATGGAGAAGAAAATGGCAACCCACTCTGATATTCTTGCCTGGATAATTCCATGGACAGAGGAGCCTGGCAGGCTACAGTCCATGGGTCGCACAAGTCAGACACAACTTAGTGACTAGAGAGAGAGCGAGAGCAAGCATAGAAATGAAAAGGAAATTTTTTTCTTTTGGCTGCTTCACTCAGCATATGGAATCTTAGTTTCCAGATCAGGGATCGATCTGTGTCCCTTGCATTGGAAGCACGGAGTCTCTGAATCACTGGACCACCAGGGAACTCCCCTGGATGTCAATTTAAATGTCCTAAATAAGTTACTAAGGAAGGATCCAATAGTGCATTTAAAAATTAATACATTCCAATCAAGTC